GGCAGCAGAATTTGTAGCTTGCTATGAGGCATCCAATCAGGGAATATGGCTGCGAAATTTTGTCACGGGACTGCGCATTTTGGAAAATGTTGAAAGACCACTAAGGTTATATTGTGACAATAAATCTGCAGTAATGTATTCCAATAACAACATGAGCTCAACTAAGTCAAAACATATTGACATTAAGTTTCTGGTTGTGAAAGAAAGGGTACAGAGTGGACAAATATCTATAGAGCACATTGGGACAAACTCCATGATAGCTGATCCTCTTACTAAGGGACTACCACCTAAGGTCTTTCATGAGCATACTGCTCATATGGGTGTGGTATTATTTGAGGATATTATGTTTTAGTGGGAGTTTGTATTTGTGGTGCTTTATGTTTGGTTGTATTGTCTGATCAGAATAAAGTATTCAGTTAAGACACTCTGTTACATTATGTTTGGTTTTGACCTCACTAAGGAGGACCAGTTGAAAATAGACATGTACTGATCACATTGCATGTAATTTTCATGCTGCACATCCATGATTGATCTATGTCGTTTGATTGTATTGGTATATGTGACCATTGATGGGTCGAGTCACGATAAATGTGACGAAGGCCGCTTTGATCCTATATTGATATAGTCAATGGACGAGATTGTTCGGAAATACCTTTTCAGTGATAGCAATTTTTGAGCTCATAAAGTTATACACAATTTAAGGAATCATATGGTGCCCAAGTGGGAGATTGTTGGATTTAATCTAATAGATCTATTTGTGGGCACATATGATTAATTAATGTGTATTGCTATCTTTCAGGATAACCCACTAAAGTGATCATTTAAGTTGGGTTAATGGATATTTAAATATAATCATGGGGTTATATGTGCAGATAGCAGGTTGTAATTGTGATTTATTAAGGGGCTAAATTATAAAAAATACAACATCTATAAATAAGGGGTTATGGTCCCTAACCTAGGGTTACATTCTCTAATTCTCTACACCCTCATCTAGCTAGAGAAATTCGGATTTAGAGAAACCCTAAGGTTAGAAGATCCAAAACCCATCTCAAGGTTCATCCATGGATTCAGGTATAAGCTTCCGCTCTTTTGATTATTGTTAATCTCTTTGAATTAATCATGGCTATATGGTTTTAGATCTCAAGTTTTGGTTTAGATCTAACAGTTGGATGATAAAAATAATATTTTATTGGATGTTATGGGTGAGTTTTAGGGATGAAAATGGATAAAAATATTATTTTATTGATTTCATTGTATCGATTTCCTTTTCTTTTATTTTAGGAAACCAACCAAACGGGTCCTAAGTTAAAAAAAGTGCGCTCCAATTATTGTAATAATTTCTTACTTGGTTTTATCCTATATCCGATCCAAAACATTTGAAATGGGTTTTCGATTCTCAATGATGATTTCCCATTTGGTTTCCTTAAATCAAAAGTGGAAACAAACATAGTCTTTGGACAAAATCTGAAGGATTCAAAGCGTGTCAAACGATCAGTTTCCTAGTATAAATGTTTAGGTATTTGCATGTGTACCTCACATCTTTCATTTTTTCATTTTTTAATTTCTCCAATGTTTGCAATTGAAATTTATTTAAAATTCTCTCTTTTGAGCTTATATTGTTAATTATTCATTATTATTGTGGATGGTTTATATGGTCACACAGTTAGTTAGCATCCGCGGCGGGACAAGTTGATGATGATTGATGAAGGGGCCGCTTTCTTCTCCGACTTTATGTCTGATTCTAAGTTGGAGGAGTTGCTCAACCTGCACAGGAAAAGACTCGTGAGAGGGCGGGGCTTGGTTTCGTCGTGGTACCTCCAACGATCAAGTCAGCTGGTGAACTTGAGTGAGGTGAGAAGAACTGTGAGAGTTCTTGTGCATGTGATCGCTTAATGATTAGATTTAGAAATCAAGATTTCAACCCTTTGAAAGGTAGAATAGTACTTATATTTATACATGTGAGGATGAAGGGTAGAACCGTTATTCTGACCGAACACAGGATGCCGGTGAAGAAGCGTGTGTTAGCAGTTGCGTCAACACTTGCTTTATAAGTGTCGGCTGGTGACTAACTGCGTGATCGGTACTGACATGATGTGATGTGTGGCGCACGAAACACAACATGGCCCAATAAGTCATGAAGATTGTCAGGGGAGGGGGGGTGCAAAGACATGATGATGCCTAACAAACATTGACGCGATCATAACACGTTGTCAGTGAGGATAAGTTCGAGGCTAAAGTAGTCATTTAGCTTTGTCGAGAAGTAATGTCTTTTGAGTCGGCTTCGTAAGACGTTTGGCAAATGGTCGAGTGGACTTGTGGCGAGCCGTCTTAAACAAAATGTTGGAAATTTATCAAATAAATAAAGATTATAGCATGAATTTAAACCCGGAAATTAAATAAATAATACATCAAATATAGATAATATAAATTAGAGAAACAGGCCTGACGGGAGCAGTCATGTAAACACTGCCCTAGAAGATTGAGGACCCGCCTATCGCCCTGGCGCAGATGATCCCTTCTCCCCTAGCGGTAAAAACCCCCGGAAACGGCCCGGCCTCTGCACTCGGGCGAGAGTGCAGAGCTTCAGCTCAGATGAAGAAGTTGCCCATAAAGTAAAACTAAAGTATAGATGAAAATGATATGTAGAGGAGAAAAGAAAACAAGATAAGTTTTCCATATTTTTCTTCATGTTTCTTGAGCACAACATATGTTGTTTATATAGGGGTTGAAAAGAGGCGTTACAAAATCCCTCAATAAATTTCGTAACGTTCGTCATAATGTATAGTCATTATGCCCATTTTAATTACAAATTAAAACACATTAAAACATATTTTAATTGCATATTTTAATTACAAAAATTTATTAGAATTCATTAAGGCAAAATTGCCTTTTCTTTAAAAATATCCAACAGTCCCCCCCCCCAAAAGGCAATATTGACTGAAAACTTAAAAATCAATAAATAAATTAATAAATCACAAAATGAAAATAGGTTGGGCAACCTATCGTATCGTGAATTCGGGAAAGGTAGCTTTCGGCTTTGAACCTTTCCTTAGTGAGTTCATCGCCACCTGAGGGACATAATGGACTAGGCCTTGAATTAGGCCCCTTTAATCAGGTATTGATAAAAACACACACAATACGCTTCATCTATTGAGCAAAGCGGGTTGAGCGTTAAAGGCCATGCTCACAATAAACCGACTCATGAGAGTTTCTAGGGGTTAGCCCAGCCCCCCCTAACCGCGGCCATCACGGTTCCTCTCACGTAGGTAAGTCCTCAAAGGGTACTACAGCTGTTTATTTAATACCCCCCACAATACACGCGTTGGACTTATTAAGAGTAAAACTCAGCCTAGCCAGCTGTATCATAAGAGCATCGTCATCATAGAGAAGGGGTAGTAGCAAATGCTACATAATGATATATAAATATATCTAGGTCGATGCTCCACACGAGTGTCACTAGTCCAGCTTGTTTCTACCACATTGAACCGACATTGGGACTACGTCTCCAAATAAGGGTTGGGTTGCCGCTGTCAGTGACCTCATCTATGGGCTTAACCCCATCTCCCTCGATGAATCCAGAACCACACTCCTGGATAATCCCTTAGTCAAAGGGTCATCAAGATTCTTTTCACAGACTTTACAAAGTCTAGAATCATAACTTTGCCTAGCAGGCGTTGTATTTATTTATCAAGTTCTTATTTTGTAATTAGTCCATCATATTGTTTGAAATTGACATTAGGTCATGATCTATGATCATAAAAGATCATAGTCTATGTCTGAAGAGATTGACCTTAATATCTGAACATTTCAAACTAATGTGGAACTAAAAATTCTGCAGTTATGCATATGCACATACATGAATGAAATTAATAATAGATACATGCAGAGCATAATAGGATTTCGTATCTTAAAAAAATATTTTTGTAGCTTAAAATATATTTCATACTTCATAATTCAAATGCATAAAATTTTTAAAATTCTTCTATTATAAGAGGTTACAAATTGGTTGCCTACAAAGGAGACCGTCCAAATTTAAATCGGTTGCCTACAAATGAGACCTTCCAAATTTAAATTGGTTGTCTACAAAGGAGACCTTCCAAATTTATGTTGCCATTTTCTAGTACCACCTCTTATACAAATAATAATAATAATAATATTTGTACATACGTGCTTTAAATTTTACAAGTGCATTCTTGCATAAAACCTTGTAATTAATCATGTAAAAAATGCAAGTTATCTAAAAAGATATATGAGCATTTATTGCAATATTCATCAAAATGCAATAAAAATGATGAACTTTACATTTGAAGATTTGAAATATAATCCACCATATAAAATAGAATTTTAAAAAATGCACCTCTTTGATTTGTTCGCTCATATATTGATCATTTATCATTAGGCAATATATGATGCAAGAAGCGTAATTAAATAAATGCATATGAATTTTCACATAATTCCGGTCCTCTTATTCCAAACCAAAACTCCTAAAGTGAAAAGATTAAAGTTTTACCCGGGTAGTTACACTAGTGGAAAAATGGGTATCCTTGACGGGCTTTCTCGTCAGGGATGTCAAAAATCCCGTCAGGAATACGTATCCTTGACGGCGTCCCGTCAAGGATACGCCGTCAGAAAAAGTCCCGTCAGGGATAAAACATCCCTGACGGGGAGCCGTCAGTAATATATATTACTGACGGCAACATTATTGACGGCTAGTGCCGTCAGTAATATTGAAACATCGCTGACGGGAAGCCCGTCAGCGATGTTTCACTATCCCTGACGGCGATCCCGTCAGTGATAGACATTATATATATATAACAACATAGTGATAATTCAATGGCCTGATATCGAAAAGACTCCTTTAGTAGTCAAATCTAACCCAATTTTTGCATGCACCAAGTACCCTGTGATCTTTAGGCAAGCAACAAAAATGTTCTGTGAACCTGTAAAATTGAGGAGATGGCAACATAAATCTTCCCTCGGATACCAAACACCTGCACTTTACCTGATACAATTGAGCACATAAATCCAAGAGGAGACCGCCACCAAGTCACAGAATCACAAGCAAATGAGAGGGGAAAAAATCACCGAGTTGCAAACATAAAGTGGTACAAATCCAGGAGCACCCGTCACCGTTACAATGATCAGATAAGCCAACAGAATCGCAATTTCGAAACCGGACTTTTTACACCACCAAAAACAAAAAAACAAAGGGTCCTTCCCTGGCGCTTGAGGGCGTAGACGACGTCCATGGCGGTGACGGTCTTGCGCCTGGCGTGCTCCGTGTAGGTGACGGCGTCCCTGATGACGTTCTCGAGGAAGATCTTGAGCACGCCGCGCGTCTCCTCGTAGATCAGACCGCTGATGCGCTTCACGCCACCGCGCCGGGCCAGGCGGCGGATGGCCGGCTTCGTGATCCCCTGGATGTTGTCCCTCAGCACCTTCCGGTGGCGCTTCGCCCCGCCCTTCCCCAGGCCCTTCCCTCCCTTCCCCCGCCCCGACATCGCTCCCGCCCTCGATTGATTGGGATTGCAGCGGTTGGTTTTAAGCTCGATTCGATTCGAGAGGGGGAGAGCGATGGAAGAATGGGGATTTTTATAGAGCGAGAAAGAATGGGGTTTCGAATAGGGGAGGGGCTCGGAAAATTTTCGGGGGTGAAGAGGTGGGGCTCGGAAAATTGACGGTCGAGATCTGTTTTATACGGTTGGCGCGGATCGGTGAGCTGGCAGCGGGAAATTTTCGCCCGTGAACTTTTTTGGAACAATATCGCTGACGGGCACCCCGTCAGCGATGTTAACACCCCGTCAGCGATGTATACATCGCTGACGGCAACCAAGCAGTTGTGACGGCAACATCACTGACGGTAATTTCCGTCATCGATGTAAACAACACTGACGGGAATTTCCCGTCAGTGATGTTGCCGTCAGCGAAAGTCACATTTCCACTAGTGTTAGTCAGGTAAGGATAGTAATAGAGGTTGATCAAAGATCAATTAAGTACCTCGTTCCTTGCAGAGTGCGTTACGCAACCCTTAAACCTTGCCTTAGACACCAACTAATCCAAGAAAACTTGAATCGGTTCACTCAATGAGTTTTTGTTCCTTAACAGTATATAGAAACTTTAAATTATTTCCTGCAATCATTTAAATTGCCTAGCAATTATACTGCAAACATATGTTGGATAAGGCCGAGGAGGGGTTTACCTATTGATGTTCGAACCTCATGATTTTCATGTATTAAGAGTAAAAACTCATCTGCTGCAGACAACTGCCACATAAGTTGCTGAACAAATTTGCATTCACTTTTACCACATTCTGTACTAAGTTTATTAGATGCATAAGCACTCCAAAGTATGAAATTATTAATAATAGAAGGTACCATATTGATAGGTTAAAGAAATGAAAGCATTAAACCATGAAAAAATCCAGATATTTCAAAGCATTTATGCATCCAGAGTTTGTTCTCTTTATTCTTGTCAAAACCATGCTATGAAATTTTCAAGAATAAAAATGTTCAAATGCGTGCATATTCACTAGCACAAGGGGATAAATGTAGGTTTTAGATGATTATAACAAATATAAACTAGGCTTTTAGAAACCACTAAAGGTTCTTTGATATTCGTAACTTGCAATAGTTATTGATTATAAAACAACTATAAGATAAATGTAATTAACTATTAAATTAAATTAACAGAAATATTTAACTACAATTTTTTTTATTAAAAAAATAACCAAAACTGTTTGCATGAACAGTAACGTTTTTTAAAAATAAATGAACAGTAATTTTTTTTTTCAAATTTTATAACATCAAATCAATAATACTAATAGATAAACAAATATATAATTAAAGCAATTATATTTTCTTTGTGTTAACAACAACTATAAAATTCCTCTGTTTTTTTTTTGTAAACAGTAACAAATTTTTTTTTAACAAAAAGTTAATTAATAGATAAGCAATTTAGTAGCAATTTTCTTTTTCTTTTTTAAAAAGGATGAACAGTAACCATCTCGAATGAACAGTAACTTTAAAATAATTTCGGATTTAAATCAAAGCTATAAACTTCTCAATCTTCTAGATTGTTGGAAATTTATCAAATAAATAAAGATTATAGCATGAATTTAAACCCGGAAATTAAATAAATAATACATCAAATATAGATAATATAAATTAGAGAAACATGCCTGACGGGAGCAGTCGTGTAAACACTGCCCTAGAAGATTGATGACCCGCCTATCGCCCTGGCGCAGATGATCCCTTCTCCCCTAGCGGTAAAACCCCCCGGAAACGGCCCGGCCTCTGCACTCGGGCGAGAGTGCAGAGCTTCAGCTCAGATGAAGAAGTTGCCCATAAAGTAAAACTAAAGTATAGATGAAAATGATATGTAGAGGAGAAAAGAAAACAAGATAAGTTTTCCACATTTTTCTTCATGTTTCTTGAGCTCAACATATGTTGTTTATATAGGGGTTGAAAAGAGCCGTTACAAAATCCCTCAATAAATTTCGTAACGTTCGTCATAATGTATAGTCATTATGCCCATTTTAATTACAAATTAAAACACATTAAAACATATTTTAATTGCATATTTTAATTACAAAAATTTATTAGAATTCATTAAGGCAAAATTGCATTTTCTTTAAAAATATCCAACACAAAAGGGGGTCGACAAGTTCCCTTTTTCGAGTCGACATGAAGAAACGTCGAGTCGTCGAGTCAACGGAATGGTCGTCCCTTACTGGTCCCTGGCTGCCAAGTTTATTGGGGCATAGAATGTAGCACACTTGTCCGTTGTTTGACAATGAGTTTGTACTCTAATCGTATGAGAATAACATAACAATTAGTTAAACATAAATTCGCCCAAATAGTCTTTTTAGACTAGTCAGCACACATGCACCTTTAATGTATCTGCTTTGCACTCATATATCTTCTATTAGTTTTGGCAACACTTATATGCTAACATCACATATGTTTTTTACCTTCTTTTTCTGTTAAATTCACCGTGTTTAAGATGTCCGATTCTATTTTAGAATAGAAATCAGAATCGAATAAATAAAGGTAAAACACTAAATTCCCAATTAGATTCACGAGAAACAATTTTAATCGCTAATTAGTAATTACCGGAAAATTTTAACCCAATTAGATTCATGTAAAAATCTCGAAAAGCAAAGGACCCAGTTAGATTCGTACTCCCGCCCATTCCCGCTTGAATTATTAGTCGCCAGCTCACCGATCCCCGCCCTCAAAGCTAGCGTTCACATCACCTAACCAATCACGTCCGTCAATTTCCGATAAAACCGACGGCCACGGATCGCCCACCTCACCGATCCGCGGCCCACCCCCATCACCCAATCAAACATCATCCCCCCACCCCCCCTTATAAATACGATTCCTCACCCGTTGGTCATCTCATCACAGCAGCGGAGAGGAAAAACTTCACCTCCAAAAATTCGCCGAAACTTCCCGAGATCCCGCGATAGCAATGGCGCCCAAGGCGGAGAAGAAGCCCGCGGCGGCGGAGAAGAAGCCCGAGGAGGAGGAGGGGCCCAAGAAGGCTGAGAAGGCCCCCGCGGGGAAGAAGCCCAAGGCCGAGAAGAGGCTGCCGGCGTCGAAGGAAGGGGGAGGGGACAAGAGCGGCAAGGCGAAGAAGAAGAGGAAGGCGAAGAGCGTGGAGACGTACAAGATCTACATCTTCAAGGTCCTGAAGCAGGTCCACCCGGACATCGGGATCTCGAGCAAGGCGATGGGGATCATGAACTCGTTCATCAACGACATCTTCGAGAAGCTGGCCCAGGAGGCCTCCCGCCTGGCCCGCTACAACAAGAAGCCCACCGTCACCTCCCGCGAGATCCAGACCTCCGTCCGCCTCGTCCTCCCCGGAGAGCTCGCCAAGCACGCCGTCTCCGAGGGCACCAAGGCCGTCACCAAGTTCACCAGCTCTTGATCTTCGCTCGCTCCTTAGGGTTCTAGGGTTTCTGTTGGATTCCGGGTGTAATTACTTCGGTGTTATCAAGTAAATGAAAAAAAGGCTGGCCTCTAGGGATGCGTTTGGCTATAAATTAGTTTAGTATCAGAATTTGTCCTAATTTTGGCTATTCGGCTATAAATTAGTTAATTGTTGGACCATTACCAGTATGGTTCAACACTAAAGTTGTTTTATGACGTCTTTTTAGTTTAAGAAAAATTAAGCTAGAACTGATCTAGCTTTTGACAATCAAAAGCAAATACAAAATTAGGCTAAGTTCAGTCCTGGCTTAGTTTTAGGAGTTTGTTAAACACATGTTGAGTTTTTTTTTTTTTGCAAATAACTTTCGTATCCATGTCAGCATGTGATAAAATGGAATATAATGTTTGTATGAAATATGAATTTATTGTTGGTGATGGGATAGAATTAGATAAATTATTAAATATAAATAAAATTATTCTATTAAAATTTGTTGCTATTTGTTGTTAGTTTTATGTGATTTCACCACTTATTAGGGGAGGGGAAGTTAAATTTGCATTTAATTATATGTGGTAATTTTTTTTTTTTGCATTTCATTGTCATAATCATTTGTAAACAAACAAATATGTAAAATGTTAAAAGAAAATCGTTTTGAAAATTTCATCTTTCACTAGCATTTAAATAAACACTCCATAATGTTTGGTAACCGGCTCAGTTTTGTTTATTTTTACCCTTTTGCATTTTAGAATGGACACAACTACTTTGTTAGAAATTCAACGAACCTTTTATTATTTATTTTGTTTTTTCTCATATATAATATATTATATTAATTACAATTCTATCTACTAAGAAATATAAATTACCCGTTTGTTTTATTTCGCGCGAGATAATTTGCTTACAACAAGAAAAATATTCATTCACCGTCACCTCCCGCGAGATAATTATGAAGAAAATGAAGTGTGGGTTATTAAATGGAAGCTATGGAAATTGCTATCAGCTACAGATTATCACCTTCAAAAAGTTATGGATGCAAATAGAAGATTTATATCGGTTTTGTGCTTTATTCTTGAAAAAAACAATGCTCACTTAATAAACCAAAAGTATATGGGACCAATTATGGACAATTTAGCAAGTGCGTAATAATTATCGTCATTGTCGTAGCATTTTATGGTAGGAGTGAGCATTAATCTGTTTGAACCTATTAAACCGGCCAAAGATGCGATTTCAGCTCAATTTTTAAAAATATGTTCTGATGCGGTTCAGTCTATGAAAATTTCAATCTGAGCAAGCTAAAGCGACTGCTTCTCGATGTTCAACATATACTATTATTTCTTTTCATTAATCTTTAAATTTCTTTCTCATTTTCTTTTAAATTTTTTGTAACAACTAATTCTCTATATCACGTCTAACATGATATATCCTTAAATGCACACTTTTCCTTTTATTTCTTTATATGCATTTTTCTTATGGGTCAAAATAGACTTTTTCCTTAATCAATCTATTCGAAAGTTCAAACTAAATAAACCGACTCAAAGTGATCTAATTAATTTCGATTTGGGATGGGTTTTAAATATAGAATAGTTTGGTTCAATTCTATCAAAATTTACAAAAACTGACTGAACCGATCGTTTGCTCACCCCAAATTTATGGCTTTATAGCAAATCTGAAACATAAAAACGATATCATATTAGCAAGAAAGTCATCTATATTTGTGTTTTTGTTCTCTTGAGGGAAATAAGAGTTGACGTAGCGTAGAAGTAGTAGCTTCGGAATCCACCAAGAATAATCTTAATCACGAAAAGCTTCGAATCCACAAAGTAAATATTAAAGAAAAACAAAATTTTATTAATTAAAAGTTATGTCTCTAGAGTTTACAAGACTCTACTTAAATAGAAAAAGAAATAAACTTCTACAAGGACTCAAACATTTAAAAAAATAGTAAAAAAATTTTCTCATTGTCGTAGCATTTTATGCGTAGGAGTGAGCATTAATCTGTTTGAACCTATTAAACCGGCCACCAAAGATCGATTCAGCTCAATTTAAAAATATGTTCTGATCCGTTCAGTCTATGAAAATTTTCAATCTGAGCAAGCTAAAGCGTCTGCTTTCTCGATTGGTTCAACATATACTATTATTTCTTTTCATTAATCTTTAAATTTCTTTCTCATTTTCTTTTAAATTTTTTGTAACAACTAATCATCTATCACGTTAACATGTATATCCTTAAATGCACACTTTTCCTTTTTATTTCTTTATATGCATTTTTCTTATGGGTCAAAATAGACTTTTTCCTTAATGCAATCTATTCGAAGTTCAAACTAAATAAACCGACTCAAAGTGATCTAATTAATTTCGATTTGGGATGGTTTTTAAATATAGAATAGTTTGGTTCAATTCTATTAAAATTTACAAAAACTGACTGAACGATCGTTTGCTCACCCCAAATTTATGGCTTATATAGCAAATCTGAAACATAAAAACGATATCATATTAGCAAGAAAGTCATCTATATTTGTGTTTTTGTTCTCTGAGGGAAATAAGAGTTGACGTAGCGTAGAAGTAGTAGCTTCGGAAATCACCAAGAATAATCTTAATCACGAAAGCTTTCGAATCCACAAAGTAAAATATTAAGAAAAACCAAAATTTTATTAATTAAAAGTTATGTCTCTAGGAGTTTACAGACTCTACTTAAATAGAAAAAGAAATAAGACTTCTACAAGACTCAAACATTAAAAAAATAGTAAAAAAATTCTTTCTCATATTCGTAGCATTTTATGGTAGGAGTGATCATTAATCTGTTTGAACCTATTAAACCGGCCAAAGATCGATTCAGCTCAATTATAAAAATATGTTCTGATCGGTTCAGTCTATGAAAATTTCAATCTGAGCAAGCTAAAGCGACTGCTTTCTCGATTGTTCAACATATACATTATTTCTTTCATTAATCTTTAAATTTCTTTCTCATTTTTCTTTAAATTTTTTGTAACAACTAATCTCTATCACGCTCTACACATGTATATCCTTAAATGCACACTTTTCCTTTTATTTCTTTATATGCATTTTTCTTATGGGTCAAAATAGACTTTTTCCTTAATCAATCTATTCGAAGTTCAAACTAAATAAACCGACTCAAAGTGATCTAATTAATTTCGATTTGGGTGGGGTTTTAAATATAGAATAGTTTGGTTCAATTCTATCAAAATTTACAAAAACTGACTGAACCGACGCGTTTGCTCACCCCAAATTTATGGCTTATAGCAAATCTGAAACATAAAAACGATATCATATTAGCAAGAAAGTCATCTATATTGTGTTTTTTCTCTTGAGGGAAATAAGAGTTGACGTAGCGTAGAAGTAGTAGCTTCGGAATCCACCAAGATAATCTTGAATCACGAAAGCTTGAATTCCACAAAGTAAATATTAAAGAAAAACAAAATTTTATTAATTAAAAGTTATGTCTCTAGAGTTTACAAGACTCTACTTAATAGAAAAAGAAATAAGACTTCTACAAGGACTCACAACATTAAAAAAATAGTAAAAAAATTCTTTCTCATTGTCGTAGCATTTATGTAGAGTGAGCATTAATCTGTTTGAACCTATTAAACCCGCGCCAAAGATCGATTCAGCTCAATTTAAAAATATGTTCTGATCGTTCAGTCTATGAAAATTTCAATCTGAGCAAGCTAAAGCGACTGCTTCTCGATTGTTCAACATATACTATTATTTCTTTCATTAATCTTTAAATTTCTTTCTCATTTTCTTTTAAATTTTTGTAACAACTAATCTCTATCATTTCTTACATGTATATCCTTAAATGCACACTTTTCCTTTTATTTCTTTATATGCATTTTTCTTATGGTCAAAATAGACTTTTTCCTTAATCAATCTATTCGAAGTTCAAACTAAATAAACCGACTCAAAGTGATCTAATTAATTTCGATTTGGGATGGGTTTTTAATATAGAATAGTTTTGTTCAATTCTATCAAAATTTACAAAAACTGACTGAACGACCGTTTGCTCACCCCAAATTTATGGCTTTACAGCAAATCTGAAACATAAAAACGATATCATATTAGCAAGAAAGTCATCTATATTGTATTCTTGTTCTCTTGAGGGAAATAAGAGTTGACGTAGCGTAGAAGTAGTAGCTTCGGAATCCACCAAGGATAATCTTCGAATCACGAAAAGCTTTGAATTCACGAAGTAAATATTAAGAAAAACAAATTTTATTAATTAAAAGTTATGTCTCTAGAGTTTACAAGACTCTACTTAAATAGAAAAAGAAATAAGACTTCTACAAGGACTCAAACATTAAAAAATATTAAAAAATTCTTTCTCATTGTCGCTAGCATTTTATGGTAGGAGTGAGCATTAATCTGTTTGAACCTATTAAACCGGGCAAAGATCGATTCAGCTCAATTTAAAAATATGTTCTGATCGGTTCAGCTATGAAAATTTCAATCTGGCAAGCTAAAGCGACTGCTTTCTCGATTGTTCAACATATACTATTATTTCTTTCATTAATCTTTAAATTTCTTTCTCATTTTCTTTTAAATTTTTTGTTAACAACTAATCTCTATCATTTCTTACATGTATATCCTTAAATGCACACTTTTCCTTTTATTTCTTTATATGCATTTTTCTTATGGGTCAAAATAGACTTTTCCTTAATCAATCTATTCGAAGTTCACAACTAAATAAACGACTCAAAGTGATCTAATTAATTTCGATTTGGGATGGGTTTTAAATATAGAATAGTTTTGTTCAATTCTATCAAAATTTACAAAAACTGACTGAACCGACCGTTTGCTCACCCCAAATTTATGGCTTTACAGCAAATCTGAAACATTAAACGATATCATCATTAGCAAGAAAGTCATCTATATTTGTATCTTGTTCTCTTTGAGGGAAATAAGAGTTGACGTAGCGTAGAAGTAGTAGCTTCGGAATCCACCAAGGATAATCTTCGAATCACGAAAGCTTGAATTCACGAAGTAAATATTAAAGAAAAACAAAATTTTATTAATTAAAAGTTATGTCTCTAGAGTTTACAAGACTCTACTATAAATAGAAAAAGAATAAGACTTCTACAAGGACTCAAACATTAAAAAAATAGTAAAAAATTCTTTCTCATGTCGTAGCCATTTTATGTGAGGAGTGAGCATTAATCTGTTTGACTATTAAACCGCAAAAGACGCATTACAGCTCAATTTA